AGTCTACTTGCACTGGCTAAAGAGGAGTAAAACTTAATGTAAACCCTGTTCCAAACCGAAACAGCAAAGTGCTAGCTGACAGTCTTGTTTCCCTGCTGTGTAAAACACTGCATAGTTTGATAACTTATATCCATGATGAATGTTTGTAAGTAGATACACTGGAAACAAATCAATCAGGTTCTGTACGAGAAGATGAGGCTGAGCTGGACTTGTTGCCTCCATGCTGGTCGGGACCATTGTAAAAGAAGCAGCGTGTAGTATCTCTTCTGAGATACTACACAGTTACATAGTTACATAGTATTTGAGGTTGAATAAAGACATTAGTCCATCAAGTCCAACCTATAGGACTTGATGGACTAATGTTTTATTTATTAAGCTTGCCATACACCTATAGATTATCTGCAGGTTTTCTATGGTCAGATGGAAAAATTGCAACAGATTCCTTCATTTACAGCAGTGGTTCCCAACCTGTGTGACCTCAGGACCCACATTTGTCCTTGGTCATCAAGCCCCCACCCAGGTCGCACCACACTGCACGGCATTGCAGTACCGCATGTTTTGGTACAAGTGATCAAACTGTGGGCAGGGAGATGTGTTTGGGGTGCCATTGAAATGAATTACAACGTACTGCCTGCACCTGAACGAACAGTAGGTGCAATTGCGTGATAGTTTGCGATTAAAACACTGACAGACACACACAACCACAGACACACTCCAAAAATGTAAGGGTTCAGTGTGGGCTGCTGTGCTGGGACAGAGCTCCATCCATACGTGCATTGCTTGTTCAGCTCTCTGTAGAGGTGCCGGGAGCCAGAATGTGACACCCTCCAGACGCCGCCCTCAGAGACGTCACACATGAGAGCAAGGGCATAGCAGGTCGGCCCTCCAGAAGCGTCCCGTTGCTAGGAGACGTTCGGGAGGGCCGCTGCTGACGACTCAGCCCTCAACACACCTGTCTAAATTACAAAAGCCTGGAAGGCTCACTTGCTCGACGTTCTAGCAAGGTAGAACGTTGAGCAATCTTCTAGGGTTCATACCTCAGACATCCTGAACCTTGTTGTCCTCCTCCAGAGCAGGGCCGGCCTTAGGGGTGTGCAAAACCGACACAGCTCGTCCTGGGGGCGGCTTCTCTCCCCCTCACCGCTCCGCCATCCGATATGACAGCGCTCCCTCGTCCGCCCCCCCACCTATGGTCAATTTTGGGCATGGTAATTTTTTGCGATTTTGCGGGTGCGCGCAATTTTAAAGCATGACATGTTTGGTGTCTATTTACCCGACGTGACCGCGCTTTTTATATTTTACCAAAAATATGGGTGATAAATGGGTGTGGTTACTGAGGGTGTGGCCACTGAGGGGTGTGGTCACTGAGGGGCGCTGTAAAGCTTTCTCGCACAGGGCGCCTAAAGGCCTAAGGCCGGCCCTGCTCCAGAGAAATGGGAATCTGGACTTCTGCCTCACATCACGGATCCTCTGACCTGTACTCCTGAAGGGGCTCTGGGGCCGATCAAACCGCAAGTACCACCTGGACACTGCATTTGAGTATATTGCATGCTATGCTGTGGGGTTAAAGAGACAATACTCTTCATAGGGTTGCTCTGGAGTACTGCTAATTTCTGTGTTGCTGGGAAACATTATCCTTGCCGTCAGGGGCACGTGTGTGTTATGTAGTGCTGAGAGACTGTAATAACCAAGTTGGAATAATCACTGATATCTTTATTACACTGCCGAGTTATTTTCTGTTGCTTTATAGTGTTTATGCATTAGTGAAGTGAACTACTGCATTCTGAACTACAAACCCCCACATGCCCCGACTAACCACAATTGTGGATCAGAGAGAGGTTTCATTGCCATTACCTTATCAGTTACAGCCTGTGGTGGCGCATGATGTGTTAAGGGTTCCGACCTCACTCAACCACACTACAGAGTGTTAGTGAGAACCCCCACCTGAGCCATCCACAGAGCCTCTCTGCAGCTGAGATCCTCACCCACACTCGCTTGACCATTACACAGGAAGCATATTTTAAATGGCTGCTCGGCATGAGAGCTGACAGTGCTGCGCTAGGGGGAGGATGTGGAGCCACTCACCTAGTGTAGTGGATGGCATGCGGTGGCCCACTGAACATGGGTAATTGCAGAAACGTCACCAGCACACCAAATCCTTGTAGGATCAAAATTCGTAGATTTATTGCAAACTCATGTCAGTTGCGCAAGCGCTTTCGGGGCCACACAGGGTCCTTTCATCAGGCATACCAATGAGGGTCCCACACAGGGTCCCTTCATCAGGCATCCGCAATCATTCCAAGCACCCCTTCCCGATCACGGTGTCATACCGGTAAGGAGTGCAACTAGCCTTTCCTTTTTCCACTGAACATGGGGTCACGACCCACTTTTGGGTCACGACCCACCAGTTGAGAACCATAGATCTACAGTAAACTGTGTGGATGGATTAATCTCCCACTGGGCCAAGCTTCAGTATCTTGCTAGTCGGCCCCGCTGGCTCTCAAAATACCTAAACAATGCCGGCATCCAATCAGGCTCTTCAGGTGTTGTGACAGCCAGCGGGCCGACTAGCAAGATACTGAAGCTTGGCCCAGCGGGAGATTCCTCCATACACACAGTTTAGCGTAGATGGAGGAATCTGTTGCACTTTTTCCATCTGACCACAGAAAATCTGCAGCTAATCTATAGGAGTATGGCCAGCTTAACACACACTGAATGGTGACTGGACAACACTGTGCAGTATGTACAAAAGCATTTTATTTGGGGAAAGGGGAAGTAACTTGTATATTAGGCAAGACAATGTAACAATATTTTCTGGGGGAAAAAAGAAAAGAAAAAAAACAATACACAAAATATGGGAATAAAAGCCTTTATTTGTAAATATCATGATTTATAAATGGGACATATACAGTATATATTGTGTCCTTTGTATCTAAAGTGACGCTAATAACTAAAGAAACAAACACTAAAAAAAATGATTATTTCAATTTTTGCTACTTATTGTTATATTTAGAATACATAGAAAAGAAAATATTTTTGCAAGATTATATTGCCAAAAAAAATGTTTTAAACCCCCATCCCATAACAAAGATATCTATCACTTTGGTATCAAAGTATTTTAAAAGTTACTACTAAATCTACAGGCAAGTAGCTGAAGTGTAAAAATTGCATTCAACAGCACAAACATTTCAACAATTTTTAAAATGTTGTTATCATGCGGGGCTTAAACTGCCAGAGCCCAGGGGTGAAGAGGCTGTGGGAACCGGTCTAGTAGCGAGGCAGGGCCAAGGATCAGGTAAGTATATTGTCTTTAGTTGCACCCAGTGTCCTTAGTCCTCTGCTGAGTAGCCTTGGTCCACAACTGATTGATCCAGGTCTTCTACTGAGCGCCCCGAGTCCTCCACTGAGTGAACCAGGTCTTTTACTGAGTACCCAGGCCCTTAACTGAGTACCTCAGGTCTTCTACTGAGTGTCTCCGTTGAGATTGGGAGAGTATACATGTTTTGGAACATTAATGTGTCATTTATCTCCCTTTTGATTAATCTTTTCATATTTATTTTTTTTCTAAGTAATGATAATAAATGTTATTTGTATTTTAATCACATCATCATCATCAACGTGACATTACAGTTTTTCAGACCAATTCATTTTGGTACAGTTAAAAAATGATATTAGTCCAAAGCTGAACACAAGCTATACAATGTGATTGTACAATCTGCTTTAGATCTATTATCAACTACGTAGTGCAAGGTCCTAATCTAAAAGTGATTGTTCAGAGATTGTAGTGTATGGCCACCTTAAGGACCCATTAGCACCAGCAAGCTACGCTAAACACATGGCTGCTTGTGTGTGTTGACACGCATGGTCCTGATGGGCCGATTCTGGCGCATTGCATTGTTGACTTTTTTCGTAAGCACTTCATTAAGTTCTACTGACACGGCGCGGTGCAATGCAATTGTACTGAATCGCACCACACCGTGCTGAAAAAAGTGCAGCATGCTATAAAGCAAGCTGAACTGTGCCCTTTTAAACAAGGCAAATTGCCCTGTCTATGCGATGGACATACTCTGAAAAAAGTGGCCAGCATAGCCCCAAAACTTCTGGTGTGAACGGCCCCTTAGACTCAGATTTAATCCAAATCGGCCATAATGGTATCCTACCAGCCCCTCGCCATTTTAATATGTGTTCCCAGAGGTGCCCCAGGTCCATTGGGACCTTAGAAACAGCCCTGCGCTGCTCCATAGTGACAATTAGGGATGCACCAATACCGATATTTGTATTGGTATCGCTGCCGATACTAATATCAGTATCTGTGCCGATACCGAGTATTTGGGTGAGTATTCGTACTTGCCCAAATGCTCCAATACTTATCTGCGATACCGCAACTTCCGGTTAGGGGGAGAGCTCCCTCTGACCGTCAGTGCCGAGGGAGCATGGAGCCGGCTTTCTTTCCAATCAGGAAGAGGGGTGGTGGATTATGACCCAGCTTACTGATTTGCTAGGAAGCCGGCTTCACCTGTTAGGCAACCAATTAGGAAGCCAGACGGAGCTTCGCGACCCACGGCCCGGCTTCCTGATAGGTCAGGAAGCCAGGCAGCCTCAGCAAATGAATCCGGTGTTCTTTCGCTAGAACACCAGCTTCCCAGGCAATCAGGAAGCCGGGCGAAGGGTCATGATCCGCCACCCGACTTGCTGATATACTCAGTATTGGCGAGTCCCAGAAAAAAATATCAATATTCGTACTCAATACTGAAAAAATGGTATCAGTGCATCCCTAGTGATAAGCAGTAATTTTGCGTAAGGTAAGCTGCCGCATAAGATTCAACTTTTTACCCCACACAGAACATGGTCATGGCTTCTCTCCTTTGTGTCTCTTCTCCTTGTGTTTCTTCAACTAGTCCTTGCGTCAAAAACATTTATCACAATCAGAACATGGATATGGCTTTTCTCCTGTGTGGATCCTCTTGTAGGTCAACTGTGCCATGCTTGACAATTCTTTACTACATACAGGAATGTGGATTGACACCTGGGTGGGTTTCACAGTGTTGGATCAGCTCTGCCTTTCTACTAAAACATTCATCACATTCAGGACAATGATATGTCTTCCTTCCTGAGTGGGTCCTCTGGTGTTTGTACAATTCTGCAAGGTTTCCAAAGCATTCATTACATTCAGTACATCGATAGGGCTTCTCTCCTGTATGAATCCTGTAGTGTTGAGTAAGTTGTGTCTTTAGCGCGAAGGACATGTCACATTCTGAACATTGAAAGGTCTTCCCTATGTGCTGGATGCTCTTGTGTACATTGAGATCTCCTTTATTTTTAAAACACTTGCCACATTCTTCACATATAAATGGCTTCTCTCCTGTGTGACTCTTCTGGTGTTCAACAAGCTTTGAAGAAGTTATATAGGACTTGTTACATTCAGAGCATGAATAGGGTTTCTCTCCAGTGTGACTCCTTTCATGTCTTGCAAGGTGCGCTTTGCATTTAAAACCTTTGCCACATTCCGAGCAGGAAAAGGGCCTCTGTCCTGTGTGATCCATCATGTGGTTTTTGAGAGCCATTTTTGTTTTATAACCTTGGCCACATTCAGAACATGGATATGGCTTTTCCCCAGTATGATCCCTCTGGTGGGTAGAAAGCAGACACCGGGTTCTAAAACATTTGTTGCATTCAGAACACTGATGTGGCTTCTCCCCGGTGTGAAACATCTGGTGAGTGATTAGATTTCCCTTGGTTTTAAATGATTTGTTACATTCAGAACACTGATGCGGCCTTTCCCCAGTGTGAAACATCTGGTGAGTGATGAGATTTCCCTTGGTTTTAAATGATCTGTTACATTCAGAACATTGATATGGTTTCTCTCCACTATGAATTCTCAGGTGGCGGACAAGTTCAGACTTCTGTAAAAAGTATTTATCACATTTAGGACATGGATATGGCTTCTGTCTGGTGTGCTCCAATTGGTGGAGAGTGCGCCGTGCATAGGTTTGAAAACTTTTGCCACATTCAGAACACCTAATCAGCCACTCTTCTGTGTGAATCTTCATGTGGCTGTTGCACTCTGACGTGTTCTTAAAACATTTGTCACATTCAGAACATTGATATGGCTTCTCTCCTGTGTGCGTCTTCATGTGGTTGTTGCACTCTGCCTTGGTTTTAAAACATTTGTCACATTCAGAACACTTGAATGGCTTCACTCCTGTGTGAGTCCTCATGTGGATGGTCCACAATGACTTGGTCCTGAAACCTTTCTCACACTCAGAACACTGATATGGCTTATCTCCTGTGTGATTCATCATGTGTAATCTGCACTGTGCCTTGGTGTTGAAACATTTGTCACATTCAGAACACTGGAATGGCTTCTCTCCTGTGTGAGTCCTCTGGTGAACGATAAGATCTGACTTCAAATTATAGCATTTACTACATTCAGAACATTGGTATAGCTTGTCTCCCGTGTGAATTCTCTGGTGAAACATAAGTTGGGACATCGAAACACAGCTGGTATCGCATTCAGAACACGGATATGGCTTCTTTCCAGTGTGCATCCACTGATGGCTGACAAGCAACCTCTTAACTGTAAAGCATTTACCACATTCAGTACACTTGAATGGCTTCTCTCCAGTGTGATTCCTCTGGTGAATGAGAAGATTTGACTTTTGTACAAAGCTTTTGTCACATTCAGAACATCCATATACCTTCTTCTTAGCATGACTCATCCTGGGGTTTAATAAGAAGCGTGCCTATGAGAAATCCTGAGATGCACAGTACCTGTTAAAAAAAATTATATATATAAACAAATATATATATATATATATA